CGCTACTTCGCCAAGCGTGGAGGAGCTGTTGACATCCTCGGTCAAGAGCGGGGTGAAGATAGGGTCGAGGAAGCCTCTTCGGGTGTTGGTAGCGCCGTGAACCTGCAAGCGGTTGATGGTCATGGGCTGCGAGTTCTGGTCGGAGAGCTACTGCGCGCATTAGCAAGGTCAGGGACAGTTGAGCGAGAGAAGGGTAAGAGCGTGCCAATTGTTGCAGCCTTCTGATTTTGGCCTCTTCCTGGAGCTTCTCGAACTCAGCTGAGGATTCTGCCTCCTTGCGCAAGGCATCGGGCCCGGCCTGGAGCTTGCCAATCGGGTTGGAAGCCTAGGAAAAGCACGGGTTCTATTAGCTTTCGTTGGAGGGTTTAGAGACCATTGAGAAGGGGGACTATACAGAGCTTCCGCTCGCACTGGTCTTGGAAGCCATTGGAGCCTTGGTGAGAGTTGTGACAGACGTGAGCTCAACGTTGCAGCTTGTAAGTGGGTGGACAAGACAAAAATCACACAAGCCGGAGAGCTTCGGTTGAATTTCGAGATGCAGCACGGGCGCAAGGGAACGGATCGGGACGAGGTCACTCTCGGTGGGGCTTCTGGGGCACTCGGGAGAAGAAGCTCCAGCCACATTCTGGAAGCTCTGTCCACCGAGGTAGGTACGTACTCACTACGCTCCAGCCACACATCAAGCGGCCACTCATCCAATGGAAATTGGTGAAAATTCCGAGGCACAGGGTGTAAAATGTGGCTGGTAGAGACCCACTACTTCGACTAGTGACATAATTCTGTGGCGCCTCTTCGGCGTGGACTCACCGGATACTGGAGATACGTATCTTTTTCCGTCTCTGTGTCTTTGCGTTTTGACGCACCCCGAGGGCCCCTCAAGCCCCCCCCCCCAAAAGCACCTTGAGTGGACAACGCACTGGCGGCACTTGTCACAGCCTCGCCGCATTCCATCTCCGTTACCCATTCGCTCATCCTATATCAACAACAACCCCAACACCATACAAACCAACAGTCGAAAGAGAGCAGTACATCTGCATCCAACTGCGTGTATTCAGTCGTTTCAATTTCCATCTTCTGTACATTACCCATATCATTCTCTTCGCTCTCTCTCGACCGGCCACCCGCCACCGTTCACTGATCGTGCTCCCCATTACGTCGTTCGCCGCCCACCGTCGATCCCGATACCACAGCATCTCGTCGGCAATCCTCAGCAACCATGGCTGCCAGTAGAGCCGCACAGAAGAGGGTAAGATGCACTGACATATCACTTCCACGAGATGCATTCGACTAACTCTTACACAGTTGACTCGCGAGTACAAGACTATCGCCGAGAACCCACCACCATACATCGAGGCACACCCCTCTGAATCCAACATTCTCGAGTGTGTAGTCGTCCATCGCATCCATGTCAGATATCCATGCTAACAGGTAGACAGATGGCACTATATTATCACCGGTCCCGAAAACACACCGTACCATGGCGGCCAGTACTGGGGAACTCTGGTCTTCCCCCCGAATTACCCTTTCGCGCCCCCAGCTATCCGAATGCACACTCCTTCCGGTCGCTTTCAGCCATCTACGCGCCTCTGCCTGTCCATCTCCGACTTCCATCCCAAGTCCTTCAACCCTGCCTGGGAGGTGTCCACCATTCTGATAGGCTTGCTTTCCTTCATGACCAGCGAAGAAATGACGACCGGTTCCGTATCTAGCACAGAAGTCGAAAGAAAGATGTTGGCAGCACGAACAAAGTGGTGGAACTCAACAGGCGGAGGATCCCACGCAAAATCGAATGTGGCTACGAAGGGCAACGTCAAGGCCGGTGACGGCGGCGCAAAGTTTCGAGCCGAATGGCCCGAAGTCGACAAGGCCAACTGGGAGTGGATGAAGGAGACCAAGATTGACTTGGCGACAGGTAACAGGACGGGAGCGGCAGCAGGGGCCTCCTGCGGGCCCCAACTTGGCATCGGGAATGGAAGTGGCCACCAAGCCCAGGCTGTCGTCGATGCTGTTGTGCAACAACGAGATGCCGGCCGGGGCTGGCTGAATCAGAACAAGCTGCTCGTCGCCGGCGGCGTCGTATTCTTCTACGTACTGCTTGCGAGGGTCTTGGGTGCGAGCGACAACTAAAGCGGCTTCAGATGCGTACGATTTCTGGCTGGATAGTGCTGTTGCGTCTCGAGAAGCGAGTCAGATCGTGTGTAAAGGGACAATGGGGCTAAGCATGGCGTTATGTTTTGGGTTTTCTGATGACGGACCAGAGTGATATACAGCACAACAGTCTTACTAATAGATGGGACTTGGACGGCCGATTATAAGTTGGTAAAACTCGAATGACCAATGTATTCTAGATTTGACCAAAGGATTGGCTTTTGGAAGCAAGATTCGAACAAACCTTCGCTTCTAGTACCTCGCCATGGCTCATGGGATATCGCGAGCTTCGGCCAAGCCATTGTGGGAGCCATTACTCCAACAACGTGGCATATGTCGAGAGTCACTATCAGACTCTATGTCAAATACTTGCAGAGATGATAATCGCGGAATATCGCATGAGGGAACGCCGCTTAATAAGAGTTCGGCCAAAGCTGATCCGATTGCAGCTGCAGTTGGAAATAGTTTCCACGTTGTATTGGGCCGATGGAATTCTCTGCGAAACATGAATTCAAACCTCAGGGTTGCTGTCCAAGTGGTCTTCTCGACGATCACTTCATTCCGTACATGTAGATTCGTAAGCTGCCCTTGGCCCGTCACAAGTGGACACGCGGTGCCCAGGCAAAGCCAGCAAGCCGGGTCGCCGCACCGGAAAGTGGACGGCGAGGAGTAGAGGACGCACAACGGATGAGCCGACGGATAGGTATCATCTGAAGGAAACATCAGACTCGACACATGGAGCGCCGACCGGCGACGATCACGATGGGGGCACCCAGCTCAGAGCCTCAGACAAAAGGGCTTCGGCCGTTCGGTGGGCTTGGCAGAGAAACAGGTCTGTACAGGAGAGACTACCTAGAGGCCTGGAGGCTAGAGTGTGCCAATACCTGTTTCATTGGTAAACCGAAACGTGTAACGCCGGCATGAAGTCATGGTGGAGGAGGGCCAAGCCCAGAGACCAGACAAACCAGTCAATGTAATTCAGACGAAAGGTATTGTAATACAACAGTACGGGGGGGGTTGGATATGAGCTGATGCGAGTTTGTCACCCGCCGATCGTGGTCGTAGTCGTCGTCAACTTTCCCCGTCAAATCCTCAGGATTGTAACCTTCTTGGCAGGTTGGAATATTGCCGTGGTAATATTGACTTAGGTTCTGTATGTGCAACGCAATTTTGAAGCTTTTGAGGATGTCCACTCTGTGATTGGGACGTTGAGATGTATCAAATCCGGCGTATCGTTGCATCGCCATCCGTGCGCCGGATCAAGAAAAGAACGAGGCGAAGTTGTCGAAGATCCAAACGTCTTAAATTATGTTGGCTTGAGGCACTCGGACCGGGGGTCTGTAACAAGGTGGTGGTGCTGCGTTCATGCGTTGAGTCAAGAACCTTTCTTCGCGACCCGTATGGAGTAATTACACTAGCTGCGTCTTAGTATAGTCGCTTATGAGCTTGCTGCCATGCTGGAAAGGTTTGTTTGCCTTCCTCTGTACTCTGTGGCATTTCATCTCAACTTGTTCCAAGAGAAAAGAAACGGTCTGAAGTCTTGGATGCAATGTGACTTGGAGGATGTTGATCCGGCCGACTGGCGCGCGCGGTTGTGATGCGATGAATACTGGAGCGCGTCGAGACCGACAGAGTTTACTTAAGCCCACGTTGGCTTTCCTAGAATACTCACTACGGGCAATATCATGGTAGAGCTTTTCAAAAACACTGACCGTCTGTATGCCATTGCTCAAGGGGTGATTGAATTAAGATTCTCTCCACATCAGCCCCATGGACTGGACGCTAGGAGCCCTATGCAGTCTACCTGCATACGTTCCGCAACGTCTCCCGATGCAAGGGGCAACTTTGTAGGTGTAATGCATGATGGAAAGCGTGAAGAATCTCAAGACGCCAAAGAACGACAGGCAAGGGTTTATCTCGCGCGCGCGCGAGAACGTCGATCAAACCGTCGCATGCCGCATTCCAACCCCAGACCAAGTCACACCCCCTTATCTCATCGTACCCAAAGAGTCCCAATCCCTACAAGGCGCAAGACGCAGCTGTGTCATGCCAAATATTCTAGACGAATCCCATCGTGTTAAGCGTGGGACTCTTCTGCTTCGACGACGAATTAGTCTCGCCCTAGCTCCCCGGCCCGCACCACCCAACCGCCCCATCAGGCGATCCAGAAATTCTTCAACTGCCGAAAGCAGACACCAGCATCACAGACCATGGTCTTTTTCCAAGGTTCGATATCCTAGCTCCCGGTCTCGCGGCGACGAACGTTTGTCAGGTGGAAACATGACACGCCCGTGCTTGGGAGAAAGGGGAACTTGGGCGAACATGGGAGAGGCCTCTTCCGCCCCCGGCAGGCGGGATGTGGAGGGAGACACACACCCACTTTGCCCAGAGACAGTATCGTACACTCGTGTCTGAGTCTGTCTCTCCAGTGTCACTGGCGTAGTTGATCATCGTCGCGGGTGTCGTGCGATTGACGGTTCGCCTGATGCGACGGATCCGTCCAGGCACGTCTCCGATTCGAGTACAGGCACACAAGACCAGACGCAACTAGGGTTACTACAGATCTAAACGCACGGCTTTTCCCATCCCTCTCTGCTTTCCTTCCCTTCACCTGTTTGGTATAGATCCAACTCTTCTAATTCAACCCCAGCTCCGAATCCAGAGGACGTTCCGAACCTGCAAATCATCATCCCCCTCCCCTTGCTACCGATCACCTACAGGGGGGCATGTCAGGTCTAGTATAAGGCTGCGCTGATATCCGGCGGGAAGACGAGCTTGACCCTTGGATCTTGGAGCGATGGGATTGCGCTACAGCTCTAACTCCATCACGACAAAACATAACAACTGACAAGATGGCGACGAACAACCGCTGGCCGCTCCAGGATGAGCAGGCTGGTCCTAAGCGTGCGCCCGCTGTGTCGGTGTCCGAGTTCGACGACGGGGTCAGTGAGAAGAACGAGACGCTGGTCGTCGGTACGACAAATCTCTATGTGGACGGGCAGCTGAGGCTGATTCCTGTAAGTTTGACATATCCTCTTGATTCAAGGGCTTTCCTGACAACGTGTAGATGCCCACGGCTGATCCCAAGGGTGAGTTCTGAGAAACCCCGTTTGATACCAACGAGCAATGATGATTGATATGAGAATAATGTATAGATCCACTGAACCTCCCCGCATGGCGAAAATGGACAGCAATCGGTGCCCTTTGCTTCTGTAAGACATCCCATTAACCGTACAAAGGGCCGCTAGAGACTGACTAGTTCTCACAGTCGGTGCACTTGCCCTGTCAGCTGAGGTCGTCATCGGTGGTCTCCTCCCCGTCTTCATCCTTGAGTACTCGGGAGTCGACCCGCGCATCCTCAACAACATCGACTTCAAGGCCCAGAGTGGCGGGAGCGGTCTTAACATCAATCCCATGTCCGTCGTGCCACCTGGCGTCAAGCCAGCTTCCCTAGATGAAGTCGCTCTCCTAGCTACGATGCCCCTTTTGGCGAACGGTATTGCGAGCTACTTCCTGGTGCCCACATCCATCTGGATTGGCCGTCGACCGGTCCTCTTGTTCGCTGCGACTAGTGCTTGGGCTGGTGGCTTGTTTGCTGCTTTCAGTACGAGCCTGCAACAGCACTTGCTTGCCAGAGCACTCATGGGTTTGGGCGCCGGTGCGGTAGAGGCATTGATTCCTCTGATTGTTCAGGATATGGTCTTCATCCACCAGAGAAACAAGGCCATGTCGGCTGTAGTATCCAGTCAGGGGATCATCATCATCGGTCTTGGTGTTGCAGCACCATGGGTATCCGCCAACTACACCTGGAGGTGGCTGTACTACATCACTTCTGGCATGGGTATCTTGGCTTGGGCCATACTCATTGCCTTCTTGCCTGAGACTCGCTGGACTCGTTCCCAGGAAGAGCTCAGTATGTCTCGCCTTACCCCCAAAGGGTATTACTCGAGCGCAACTAACCCGTCACAAGTGGTCAGAATACCGTTCCTCTTTTGCCTGGCCAGAACCGCCCGGAGCTCGATTACGTCAACTACACGCCACGCACGGTGTGGACCAACATCGGTGTCTTCCAAAACGGCTTCGAGTTCAAGCGCGCTGCCAAGTCCATGTTTGATGCCCTCAGATCCACGTACTTCCCGGCCATCATCTGGGGCGTTCTGGCCAACAGTTCCATGATCGTCATCAACCAGGCCGCTCAGCAGATCACGCCGTTTGCCCTCCTCGCCCAAGGATGGCAGTTCCAGTGGACCGGTCTCACCGTGCTTCCCTTCTTCGCCGCCTCGGCGCTGGTCTACGTCTTTGGTGGCCCTGTAGCTGACAAAATTTCCAACGCTGTGACAAGGTGGCAGGGCGGAAGCAGAGAGCCGGAGCATCACCTTGCCAACTTGATCCTGCCGCTCGTTTCGGGAGTAGCGGGCTGCTTCGTCTTTGGAACTGCCGGTGAGCAGAACATGCATTGGGCGGTTCTACTGGTTGGCTCCTTCTTGATCGTCTTTGCCTTTTTGACAACCATGACCATTCTCAATGTCTTCATTGTCGAGAGCTACCCGCAATGGGCAGGGTACGTTCAATTTCGATCACCCTTAAGAAAGTGCACGGCTGACACACTAGCAGACCGGTACTCGTCAACGTCTCTTCACTCCGCATTGTCGTCGCGTTCTTCATCGCCTCCAAGGCGACTGTCTGGATCGCCGAGAAAGGGCCCCTTCAAACATTCGCCCTATATGCGGAGGCAATAATCGTCTTATCTCTTGGGTTGCCTATTCTCTACTTCTGGGGCAAGAAGATGCGCCAGTGGACTGCCGGAAGTGTCAAGAACAAGCAGAGTCAAAAGGAGAAGGCTTTTGACGATGGGGCTTCGGTGTAAATCTGGTAATAATAATGAGACTCTACTGCGGTAGAGAAGAAAACACAACGCGGATCAAATACCCCGGTTGGTCTCTGGCTAAACATAGTTAATGACCTAATAGAGATCGATAAATATCAATCCAGTCGCTACCGACATGGGAACCCTCCAATCCATAATGAAGGGAAACAAATACCAAAGCAGGCAACCTTGATCATCCACGTGTAACGCCACATCCCAATCATTTGGCAGCCTTCCGTGGAAGAGCTTGTACAATCACCCAGCAGATATGAGTGCGCCTCCTACAATTCTCGGAAAAGATAACAAGTAGACGTAGGAAAAGAGACAGATTCGGCTACACTCCGTCATCTCCAAGCAAGAGATGCGTCAAAGGATGGCAGGTCCTCCACCTCTGGCTCCATCACTTGAGGGTAGAGCGACTGCGACGCGATCTGCAGCGGAACAGAAAGATTGGTCTTGGAGCCGTTGAAATTGACAGACATGCGCAAGATGTAGCTTCGAGCAATGAAACAGTTGAAGAAAGTGGGCAGGAACATCTTATGTGCCGTAGGGAGGCGGATAGGAACCTTGGTTCTTGATCGCCAGGAGAACATCTTGCAGTTTTCTGCCTGGTCGTCCTTGTGCCATAGGATGACTCCCGTGTCTGTCGTAGGGAGCTTGGTTTGGGTAGAGTACCGCAGCTCATGGCGCAGTCCAGCCGCCTCGCGGGGGTTTCCTAGGTCGGGCGACATCTTCATGGGGGTTCCTGTGAACCACGTCTGAGTGTCTAGCTTGACGTGGCCCAGAGTGACTTCCGGTGGGAATGAGAATGAGGAGTTGGATTCAAAGCTTAGGTCCAGTGTTACGGAGGCGTGAGAGTCGGGGAGCTGATGGCCGCCGATGCTGATGTAGACTGCTTCAGGCTGAAGCGCATTGATAAAGATGCGATCCTTCTGTGTAGAAAGAAGACTTCTGCGGACGGACTTGGTCCTGGATAGCGTGTATCGTGCATCGTGGTTGTTGATGTTCAGGGGTGGGTCTTCGGCAAAGGCTGGGAGGACCATGATCCGCTGACTGACCTCAGTAGTATCTTTTGGGCTGGAGGATCTCTTGCGAAGCAGTCGAGCAACTATCTTGTACTCGACTTGAGCCATCGTGGGTGACATGTCGTCTTTGCCCCAACCACCCATTGTTGGAGGCAGTCGCATGTGTTGATCGTGGGAGTGATCGCCTGAAGCAGCCTCACAGGCATCTTTGCGTAGTTCTCGTGGTATGGTGAAGTTGAATGGGATAGTTTGGGTTTCTCCTGCCGCAAAGACCCGTCCTTGCGGATAGGATGTCTTCGTAATGGGCATGTCTAGGTTGAGGAACACGTCGGTGGTGATCTTGGGGACGGGTAGCATGTCGACCCGAGTGTGAGAGGTGCCCATGAGAGCGATTTGGATGCAGTGAAAGGGAGTACGGCTGTCTGGACAGACAGATACGGTGCCTGTGATGTGAGAGCCGCTGGTATAGATCTTGGACGAGTAGTGATCGTCAATGTTGATCTCGAGAGGCATCGTGGAGGCCGCAGACCACATTGTGGTCTTGAGTAGATGGTACAAAAGAGGAGTATGTGAAATTGATATACTTTTATGGCACATATAATGTTGAGGTTGATATCAACTATTTGAAGGGCAAAGATCAGATGGATGAGATAGGAAGAAACCCCAAATTCACCCAAGAAAGAGGGGAAGGTGGCTACTTATACACCAAATTGGCCAGCGTAAGAACGGACATAGTCTTCTTGATTCAGTCCAGGCCCTGAGAACTAGCGGCAGCAAAGTTTTCTTGTCCGGCGCATTTCTTTGACTCCGACCCGGCTCTTCCTAACGTACACGGTCACGATACCGAGTCGTGGCCTCCGGAGCCCCACATCTCGGCACCGCTCAACGTACACGGTCGGGCCCCGCTTCGGTCGTGCTAGCTACCGCTTCTTCTTAACGTTAGCGGTTAGCCGAGATAAACCCCGAAAGAGGGGCCCCGGCTATTTTCTACTTTAGCGGAAAGGAAACGTAACGAAAACTCACATTGCATAAATGATTGCAAATTTCGTTATCACGGCTAGCGTTGGCGCTTTGAGCTGGACTTTCCCCAGAGCCCCAGGAAAGGCCTTGGACCGTTCATCACTTGATTGGCTGCAATCATGGCGTTCCTCGGGATGACCTGCAACTTGCGTGAGACTCGAAAAGCTGCTCGCCTAAAGCAGCCGTAAGAATTTCAAAAGTGGCAGGCTGTTCCGATGAGGTTCATGATGCTCATGATCAAACTTTCATCCCTTGGACATCCAGGGACAGCTGAGGAAATAAGGAAGCGTCTTCCTGGCGGGAGATGCCTCTTGTTTGAGAGCAAATGCAGGACATACTGTAGTAGAACCTTTTCAATCCTCACACTCAACTGGTCCCATTATGATACAAGAAAAACTGCCATCATTCATATTTCACCACTCATAATTACCATCGAACTACCAGATTTCTAACACCCAATCCTCGATACTCTCTATCAGAGTCTTCATATTCTCCACAGCAGCTTTCCCTACCAAGCCTGCTAGCTCACCATGTGATGCCTCATCAAGTCTCAGAATACTCAACATAATAATCGGTCTGTTCCTTGACTCTAGGATGAACCTGGTGGTGTGTAAAATACATTAGACAAGAAATCATTGAACATGGTTGAGGTCAGTTTGAATTACTATCATTGAAGAGAGGTACATTAAGCCATAGAAGCGTCAACTCATGCATTCAAGCTTGAAACCGTTCAGGAACTGCTACCTGAATCCTTTTGTCATACCTCACATCGATTCCTCTGCGATGAAACCCAATTCGTTGCCTAACTTTCTCTTTGCCATTTCGTGATAAGCTAAAGGATCAAGTTCTCAGTGAAGAGGGAAAAGAACCCATTTGGCGGCTAGAAGCGTCTAACTTTTGCAATATTGTCGATTTGTCCCCAATTACTAGGAATCCTCGACCAATTCGACTCAATAAAGTTATCTTGACTTTAAGATGCCCTTTTACTTACCGCTTTCTGATGGGGGCTGATGGATTGGAAAAGGATGAATAAAGAAGTTCCAGGCTACGTACAGGTAAGTTCCATTGAGACTCTGGGCTTCAAAATGTAGGAGCACCTCAATACTGCAACCAAGCCATGTTAATATTGTGACTCCGCTTCATCGCGGAGATAGGAGATCCTGATACTTGTCAGGCTCGCGTTCCAGCAAAGCATGACGATGAGATCTTAAATTGATGTACCTATTACTGATTCATAGTTAACAAGCTTTCTGGTAACGCGCCATCGCTCAGCATAGCCTTGGTGGTGTTTGGATTTGCTAACGAGCGACCAACTGACTCAATCGGCCGACGTGCCAGACACGGCTGTGTCGCAATGCTTAGCCTGAGTCAACGTCAGTCCTTGATATATGCTTCATACTGCGCGCGGCGAGTCTCTGACAAGACCCGCTTCCCCCGCTTGACCCCGAGATCATGGAAGCAGACCATCGTCACCCGGTCTCCAGTATGGACGCGGGCCGCTGCGGATGCGGGGTAGTATCCGGGGTTATGACAGTTCTCCGCGGACGCATACCCTTAGGTTTATCTCCCCGAATGACTCGCTAGACCAATGGCACGCTACGCGTTGGTAAAGTTGGTCTTGTAATGAAAGACGTGATCTGTAAAGGGGTGGGCTGGAGTAGATAGGACAAGGCGGAGCCGGTGTTGAGCGGAAATTGCGAAAACTCGTGTATGCATTTGTCTAGATTATCGAACTAGACTTTGAAAACTCAACTCATATCGTACGTCCAAAATCAGCAGACATGTCGACATCGAATGATTCCGCGATGGAGTCGAGCGTCTTGGTAAGTGTTGCCGGTGTCCTCAAGTTCAAGGATGTCACAATATCATAGGCTTTGAAGACTAATCTCTAACTACTCGATAGGGATGGCCACTTTCGTGGAGAATCTGGATTCTCCTGAACGTTAGCTTCTACAACCTTTTGGGAAATGCCTTTGCTGCAGGCGCTCCTCCGCTGTTTTCGCGCATTATTGCAGAGCTTCATTGCACTTCGGAAGAGGCCTCCCAGCTCTCTACCTATGTGCTTTTGACTCTTGGCCTCTCGGTAAGCCTGATTTAAAATGAGAACATTCACCGTTTTGATATATGTTTCTTGAGAGACACGAACTAACTGACCTTCAACTCTAGAACATCTTCGCCCTCCCTGCCGCATCTCTCATCGGTAAACGATACACGATTCTGATATCGCTTGTCATGTTCTTTGTCTTCTGCCTTTGGTCAGGGGAAGCAACAACATTCAATAACCTGCGAACTTCAAGGATTCTCGGCGGGCTCGCTGGCGGGCTTGTTGAGGCATTGGGGCCTAGCTTCGTTGAAGAGGCATTCCCAAACAAGCAATTAGCAAGCGCAATGGTTGTCTACGTTGGACTCCTTGCTGCGGGCTCATCTGTCGGACCGATCATTTCCGGTCTTGTCGCGGATGGTACTGGAGATTGGAGATGGTACTTCCGTATCCTCTCGGTTCTGATCTTCATCACATTTGTCGGATCACTGATCATGCTCCCGGAAACACGCGCGGACTCGCCAAAGACGGCTGAAGTTGAGCTCAACCCCGTTATTACTGAAGATAACCCCAAAGGTCTGCCCTTGAGCCCTACCTACGCCGAAGTTGAAAACGCCAACCAGCAAGGCTTTCCAGGGCCCAGGAAACTCGGAAAACAATGGAGACTGCGCTCTTTCTCAACAGCATGTGTCGACATGGACTGGAAGCTCGCCGCCTCAAGCCTCTTCCAGCCTCTTCAACTTCTAGGCGCGCCCCAGGTTATTGTCACAACTTTGGTCTTTGGTCTCACCATTGGCTGGACCGTTCTGGTATCTATCTTGCTCTCGGTGGTATACAGTCCCCCGCCTCTACTCTGGGGCGCCCGAGACGTCGGTCTGCTTAGTGTTGGCCCATTAGTCGGTCTTCTGATTGGTCTTCCGATCGGAGGCGCATTGGCTGATTACCTATTCAACCGAGATACACGTCGCAATGGTGGAAAACAAGATCCAGCTTCGAGATTGCCTGCTGTGATTATCGGAGGTCTAATCAGCCCAGCTGGATGTCTGGTCATTGGGTACGGCCTTGCATCACCGGAGAAGTGGGCGCAAGTCAGCGTTGGCTATGGCATGCTTGCCACAGGTCTGACTTGCTCGGCGAATGTGTTACTGACGTACGCTGTTGACACCATGCCACCTAGAGCAAGCCACATCGGAGTGCTGGTGAATTTGATCAAGAACTCTGTCGGCTTCGGAGTTTCTTACGCGGCCACAAGCTGGATGGCACAGGCGGGACCCGTCGCTCAGTTTGGTACGATGGCGGGGATTCTCTGGGCGGTGTACTTATTGGTGATCCCCCTCTACTTCTTTAGTGAAACAGTCATTCGCAAGACTGCATTTCTCGCTTAGACTGAGAGGGTAGTCTTAGACGGGACAGGGGTAGTGCAGTTGGTGTAGAAACGCCAGCGTACGAATCCCGTCTATCATTCTTCTCTGGCAGCAAATAAGAACATTCGGGCTCTCGACTACTAGAGCCCTGTTACAATTAAGAATCCATAATGAGTTCGAAAGTTTTATAACCAATTGAGATGGACGATATCTTGGAGTGATTTAACATTATCAATGATTGTCACAAAACACTCGCACCAAGCGACCGTACGTGAATCATGCTCCGGCGCGAAGAATCAACCGTCTGTAAGTTTGCAAACTCTGTCCTAGACCCCGAATTCTAGGTAAGTACACTTGCCGCAGTAAAAGATGTTTCATTCAGTTTGCCTACTTAGTCTACACGTGAATGGTCCAGCGTACAATCGTTCACTTCGACACGAGACGTTCCACATCCATGTCACCTGAGCGGTAGAATCCCAGACTTTTCAGCATAGGCATGTCATCAAAACGGTACAGGTATACATCTGTCTTCAGACCCTCGTCCGCGAAATGCTGGTAAGGATACCAGGATGGAATGCAGAAGGTATCACCCTTGTTCCAAACAAGTTCTGTATCACCGATACGAGAGCGCCCAGATCCCTCGACGACATGATAAACAGATGATGCGGTCTCCTGAACCAGAGAGGACTTAGCACCGGAGGTCAAGCGGGCTGCACGACCACCTAAAACCTTGCTGACTGGAGCGTTGCACAAGTCAGTCCAAGTTCCAACAATTATAATGAGGCAGAACGGGGATTAAGTACCTTCAGATCCATCTGCACGGAGATAACTTTGTGTAGCATATTGTCCTTCCTCGGCGTCAAGTGCTGCTTTCATCCGACTCCATGGGAAGACAATGGGCGACTGGGATGTATCAACATTGTCTGCTGGGTATCGTGGAGATGAGAAATGCTCGACGAAATGAACAGGGAAGTGGGTAAAGTTGGGCAAATCTAAGCCGTCAAGCCAGATCATCGGGCCAGAGCCATCCTTTCCATGGTCATGCCAATTCCAAGTGGGGGTCAAGATTACATCTCCCCGGTTCATCTGGATGCGCTTTCCATGAACGGCAGTGAAGCCGCCATTGCCCTCAATGATGAAGCGCATAGCAAAAGCCGTGTGCCGATGCGCCGGTGCCGTCTCATTGGGCATGACCAGTTGCAGCCCAGCGTAAAGAGTGTCAGTCGTGAATGGAGCATCTGGGGTTCTGAGTCAGGAACAGATCTAATGATTAGAAGTAATAACAGATCTGAAGCTCCATCGGTGCAGGCTGCGTACCTCTGGAAGGGTTGACGAGCATAAGCACCCGACGCTCAGCTTGCTTTTCGGTAACAAGCTGACCCGCTTGCAAGAGAGTGGGTTGAATTTCAGAATACTTCCAAAGATGGGGTGTGCACCGTGGATTGGGCAGAGGGGGGTTTAGTTTGGTCATTTGCAGCCACAAAGGCTTTGTGTGGTTGGCCTCGGCGGCGCGCAACATCGTTGCGGTGTGGTCTTCAGCCGGCTCGGCTTGGTGCGAAGTTTCTGTGACGGTCGTTGAAGACATGGCTATTTCTCGGATTGTCAGGATGATACGACGTTGAGTTGCTCGAGTGAAGTGGTAAGGTATTGATTGACTACTTTTACTCTTCTTGAATGATGCTTAGATACAGTAGCGACATTTCAGTGTTGACGAGATGTGTTTATGACTTGATCAAAAACACATGATTTCCGGGTGTTTGCCGAACTCTCATCCCGCAGGAAGACCAACCGCGTTTCGTCAATACTGTCAACGTGACGGTGAGTTACAAAACGAACACAGGTGCGCTCGGGGATTTAAGCTGTTGGCCGAAATAGCATGGTCGGAGGCTCAGCAAAGACACCAACCACAACGCTAACCGTACGCGATTTGTCGTAGCACAGCCTCTCAGCGTTAGGCGTACAGCACTTAGAGTTCGGTGCTCTTCCCTAACTCCCCGCCCTCCCCTTTCAACTACACCGGGGACTTGATCATCTTTCTCTCTAAATCCCCGCCTCAACCAGTCTCTGCCCTATCGTGCCGCACAACTCGTAAGCTGTATGAAGCCTTTCCTCGGGAAATGGAGAACAACACTCTCGGGCCAACAGGCGCGTCGACTCGGAAGCGGAAGCGTATCCCGATTGCTTGCAGCTCCTGCCGTGCTCGGAAGTCGAGGGTGAGTGCGACATTCTCGGACTCCCACCAGCACTACCACGCTGTGGGAGTCAGTTTTGGCAGTTTTCGCTTGAACGGGATTTTTCCGCCCAGCAGGTGCCACTGGCTGTCCAAGAAGACTAATCAGAATACACTCTCGAAAAGTGTGATGGTGTTAGGCCTCAGTGCTCCGCTTGCGTCGAACAAGGTATCGAATGTATCTACGCAGCCAATTCTGGTGGGAGCAATGCGCTGGTACCGAAACAGTATGTTTAGTGGAACTTTAAGCAGAGTCTTTCAAGACTTATCTTACTCTGTGAATAGATATCTCGAACAAGTTGAACACCGCTTAGCCGATGTCGAAGAAGAAATCAGTCGGCTGAAAAGACTTATACCCGCCTCGTTTCTACAAGGAAAGCAACACGTCCTCTTTCCACGTAGTGTTTCTGGCCGTACCGACGACATTTCGGAAGTCAACTATCCCGAGGAGTCACTGAATGTTGAGGATGGAAGCGTCACGCAGGGCATCACCCCCGACGCGACAGACGGTGTTGGTACTATTGAATTTACCACAGACGAGTCTTGGGCGTATTTCGGTATGACACAATAAACTAGGCTTCACAGCCATGGGCCTCGATGTTCTCTTTATACCTGCTGATTCCATCATCAATCATTCAGGGCCGTCATCCAATATTGCCTTCACGAGAATTATTCGCCGCACGCTCGACCACTTATTGAATAAGACCCAAAAAGATGAGCGCGGAGATGCATCCTCGACACCTGCAAAACATGCACAACAACACATCCTGGCTGTCTCGAGATCTCAGTCACCAGTCACTGATTCCTTCGACTCAAGGAAACTCGAAAAGCCATCCGAGGCATTGCGTTTGCCACCCGAAGAAGAGGTCATCAATCTTGTGCGCCAATTCTTCCGTGACACAGGTCTCCTATTTCCTTATATACACGAAGAAAGTTTCTGGAAAGCGTACGCTCAGTACCGAGAAACGGGCATGCAAAATGCGAAAACCGCTTGGCTTGCACTATTGCACATGGTTTTGGCCATGGCAACGAGTACCATGAACGCTACAGGTGTCGGTTTGAGCGATCGACAGGCAATTTCAGAGGTTCATTACCGGCGCGCCAAAGCCCTCTCTATGACTGAGATGATGACAGGGGCCAACGTGGAAGCAGGTACTGCTGCAGTCCCTTCCCTTCCGTCTTCAGTATCTGCTATATCTTCCCAGTACGTGCTAGTTCCTTTAGCTGACCTCAAATCTCTCAAGTCCAAGCCATGCTCCTGATGTCACAGTACCTTCAAGGCAGCCAACGTTCTATACAGACATGGGCAATACACGGGCTCGCTGTGAAAGCTGCACTCGAGTTAGGGTTTCATTCCGAATTGGCTCTTCAAAGATTCGAACCACTCGAGAGAGAAATAAGAATACGCACTTGGTATGGATGTGTCGTACTCGATAGGCAAGTAGCATATTCGGTGGATCTAGAAGCCCGTCGAAGGAACTATGTCTAACAAGATAACTATCGGGATATAGAACACTGAGTATGACCTTCGGCCGGCCGCCCATTGTTCCGCAAAACTATATTCGAACACCGTTGCCAAGACATTTCATTTCCCATCAAAGAACTTCCGATATCTCGAGATGGTCTAACGAGGAAGAGAGCACTATGTTTTGGAACGCATCAATGTTTGACTACCACAAAGCCTCCCCTTGCCTAATGTTGACTAATAACCGTCTACCTAGCACGCTTTACGGTGTGACCGCCGCCGTGATTGACGATCTATACGAAAGCAATATCGGGTCAATATCTGCCATTCCGTTAACAAACACCGTGGCTAGTGTGATACAGATTGGACAGAAATTGGCTGATTGGCAGGCATCTTTACCTCTATCGATGCAACTTGTAGAGCCGAGTGAAGTCGCCAGCCCTGAGGGGAAGTTGATGTTACTGAAGTTCCGAGTGATACTGACACTTCGGTATCATAATTTGCAACTCCTGTCGCATCGCCCAATACTAGACCGCTGTCTACAATCATTCGATGGGAGCCCTCAGTCTCTCCAGGAAGCAGCCACGCTGCAACAGGCGTGGCATCTTAGTAGAACAGTATGCCTGCGGTCAGCGGAAGCTATCATTCGCTTAGTTGAAGCCTGCAAACTTGCGAATGATGTCCAGCCTACCGTTTCATTCCTTGGAGCATGGTGGTTTAGCCTGTACTTCAGTAAGTTTGGCCTGCTACCTGGAAGGATGCCAGCTAATCTCACAAAAGCCTTCAATGCCTCTTTGACTATTGTTGCGACAAAGCTGGTCGAAGATAGCTATGGGTCTATGCCTTTTGATCAAGGATATACAAATACCGCTATACGGCTTGACGATATTCTAAAGAGTGCAGTCAGTTGCATTGCGCGATTGGATATCCAGAACCCCATGGTAGAGAAGTGCGCAAAGTTCACTGCGACCTTGATCTTCATGATTCAAAGCTTGCAAATGAGTACGTGATCGAATTTGTTTACAATGTATTCCTACAGAGACTAACCTCAGCAAAGCTCCGGGTCGGGACGATATCGCTCGTGAAGTGGGAGGGATGGGGCCAAGCCACGCAATTCCCTCGAATGGAGGTGAGAACGCGCAAAGCACGCATATATCGGCGAATAGCGGAATGGATGACGCCTTTTCTACCCTGATGAACTATCTCCCACCCAACTTCAACGATTTCCCCAACACTGGTGCAAACTTCTCCATGTCTGAGTTGATGGATGATTTTGCTACAGGGGACTTATTTTGGTAGGCGCTAGACACTTGATTTCGGTCACTA